GCTGGTCGCCGGCATTGTGTCCGGCCCGACTGGCAGCAGTCAGAAAGAGAGACGCTGCCAGCCAGGCCAGAGAGTCAGCCTTATTTATGGCTATATTAATCCTTAAATGGTATCTAATGTCACACCAGGCACGGACAGATCTATCCGAGTTGGGGTATACCGGCACTCTCACCAGACGCTCTCCCATCCAACAGTTCTCTGTAGGACTTGCTATTGTCGTACGTATTCATACGTGTGTTTTTGTGCGTCCGTGCTGCCGCTGCCAGGCACTCCTATACCACACCGGAGTACAAACGACGGTGTCGAGTTACCGGATGGTACACCACGGGGTGTCCGTGACTTATACCCTGTTTGGTTACCCTGGTTTTCTCAGCCCCACCTCGTTCGCCCTCTTTCTCGTCGTTTCACGCGTCGTTTCTCTCGCTCCTTCTTCTCTCGCCCTGGCGTTCGTCGTCCAGCGAACCGCTCTCCGCGGTTCGGTCCGCGGTTCGTGCCGCACCGTCGCTCCTGCCACCGAGATGTTTTGCGAAACAAACGTTTGTATCCGCACGCTCGACCCACTCGAGAAACCCCCCATCGTCCCCACGAGACCGCCACCATAATAAACGCGCCTTCCCCTTTTCCCTAATTATCTCCCCCTTGTTTGCTGCTTCCTGTAGCGCGTTACCGTTCGTTCGGCAAAGTTTCGGGGAATTTCGGCCGAATTTTTCCGCGTGGTCCGCAAATGACCGTGAAAAGGGCAAGAGTAAAGACTGGTGTCCGTAGATCGGAGGATCTCGATAAAACGAACGGTGAAAGCCGGTGTTCGTTACCGGAAATATTCTTGGCTAGAAATATTGGCTATAGGAGGGAGGAGGGAGGCTCGAGCACGACCGATCAACGGGAACACGCGGCATTAGTGGAGGAAGAATAAAACGTGGCGGATGGTAGCTAGCGGAGAGTAGCGGAGGAAAGCGGCGGAAGGAAGAAGAGGGCAGGGCGCGCAGTACGCGGTATAGCTCGCGGGATAATGCACGACGGGGTGCACGGCGCGCATTTAATCCAGCAATAACAGAAATATCAGTAGAGGAGCACAATGGCCGGCGCAGATATATCTGTTATATACGAGGTACGATGCCACCTATCCACATGTACGGTGTCGTGTAGCCGAACGTAGGAACGTACAACACACGAGGTAACTGTGCAGGCTGGTCGTCGGTCGGTTATTGAGGTGTCACAGCCAGCGGCACCAACAACGTGCGAACCAACCGAGCCGGGGCTAATGAATGGCGTCCTCCCTTTTCTTTTCTGCCTATGAAAAATTATTGTTGTTGCTTTGCGCGTTCGGGGTCCCCGGCGAGAGAGTCTCCTCTCACGGTGTGTCGACCTACCACCGTGTTCCTTTTTCCCGTCTCTCTCTCTCTCTCTCTCTCTCTCTCTTCCACCCGTTGCTCCTCGTTTCTCCTCTTCTCCGTCCTCTTCGACCGTTCTCCGTTGGTCGCGACCCTACCGATGGCCCCGATACTCTCTCTCTCTCTCCCTCTCCTCGAGATGCGCCGTATACGTAGAAGCAAGTAGATACCTACACGAACACGCTGTCGCCACGGTGCTGATGCTGGCGATGTCGATGCTCGGCGCTGATGGTGGTGGTAGTGGTGGCGCCCCGCGGAGAAGCCAGCTGGAACCATTGCGCTTCTCCACGACGTTCCCCATTGTCGTCGCACACGCGTCTTCCTCCGGTGCCACTCTACGGTGGTACGCTTCCTTTTCGCCAGTGTGTGCGTGTTTCGCACGAATTTAAAGCAGCCTCGAGCTGTATGGGTATACGGTATCTGCGGGCGAGTGCGCATACATCGAACGCAGAATGAAAAGGGGAGAGTGAAAGGCAGGGCGCAGCAGTTGCAGGTATGTACGTACGTACGTACACGCACGCACGCACGCACGCACTCGCGTACGCAAGCGTACGTACGTGCTGAGCGTTCGATTGTCTGGCGAACGTTCGCCAGTGGACGGACGCATTTGTCTTGATAAAAGGGACGAGCAAATTAAAAGTAATGATTTGTAGAAATATTTCGGTCCTGGTTTCTCCGCCGGCTGCTGCCCCACCGTTCCCCGTTAACGCTCGATCCTTGTCCCGATCTCGCGACCGTTTGTTCGCTTTCTCCGTCGCTGTCTCGTTCTGCTTCCTCCGGGGAAATGGAGCCATTACGGTGCCTAATGCCTCATCTGTTAGCCGTGCGAATCCAGCCTGCTCCTGTGGGGCATGCTTACAACGCTCCATTTATATAAAGCGAAAGGATATTCTCTCCCGACCGTGCTTACACGGCCAACAGGATACTCGGTGTATTCCGCGATCAAATGCCAGCCGAACGCACTCGCTCCGCGGATACGTTTCTCCCTGACCCCCTGCTATTAGTCTTCCCCTGGAAAACAATCCGCTCGCAGCCTAAGAAATTGGGTCAGGGAAGGATGTTACGAGGATGTCGCAAATCGCGAAAACCGAGAAAAGCGACTGGAACTAGATATTCTGTGATAAGTTCGTTATTGCAGCACTGGACTGTGGACGTATCTTGTCCAACCGAACTTGACAATGGTAATTACACACGAATGAACTTTGCAAATATCTTGTAGAATCAGATTTATTAATAATTAGACGTGAAAACTGTACGAGTTGAAAGTTACACCATACCTCTTACCGAGAATTATATCGAATCTTTACAGGGACCGAATCTAACGAGAATAAATCGTTTTTAACTTGAGAATTGAAATCACTTCTTCTTGAAAATTAAATTGTTCCTGCCCGCGAGCCTGCCTCTATTAGAACAACGCTCAATCTAGCCAATCATACTTAAAAGATGAGCCGTTTAATTGCTCTATAGATTATCTAGAAGCGGTAAATTAAAACATCGATAGATGCCAACCGTTTTTAGATGACAGACTTGCAGGCTAATCAACTTGCTTGATCTCGAACATGCTGTTTCTGAGTTCTGATTTCCTAAACAGTAATCGGAAACATTCGAAATAATGTCCAAAGGAAATACGACTAAACCGAGGTTTAGGAGCGCAAGAAAGTTTAATATTCTACGGGAAATATTGGGATGACCAAGTTTGATAGTATTGGCTCGATGCTAACAGAAATAGTCTTCCGAAAGACATGCTAAGAAGAGAAGAACACTGTTTTCCATCAAGCAGATCTTGTGACATCGTCCTTGACCACGGTAGAATAAAATTCCGTCTAACATTCTGTCCAACTATGCTGACTTTAGAAAACTATCTGACTTTGAGCTTTACTTCTGTTTGGAAGAAAAGAAAAAAAAAAA